GAATTTGATTAAATTTTAAGTTAAAAATATAATTAATTGTATAGCAAATTCTTTTGTCAAAGTCTAATAAATGATTAAACTATAATATATATATATATATATATATATATATATTTTTTTTTTTTGTAACTATGATATTTGTATGAAATATCTATCCTAGAAAATAATGACTGATTATCATCAAAGATCATAAGTGTACATAAGGTGAGTATTCTTCTTCCAATATAAATTATTTCAAACCCAAGGTTTAGGGATACAAACTCCTACCACTTGTACCAACCAATAAAAGTAAATGTTATTATAATTAGTATAGAATAATTGATTATTTGAAATTATATTTAATATATATATATATATATATATATATATATAAGAGTTCAAACGACACCGGTGTAACTTTTATTAAGTATTACACCGCTCAATAACTTTATTTTAAATATGAATTTTATAAATCCAATCGTTAGATTGAACATTCATATCACTTTATTAAAATTGAACAACAACTTGAAGGTAATCAAAGTGTTTATATTTTATTATATTTTAAAATGTATATACTACATCAATTTTTTTTTATAAGAATGAAGTATAAAATTCATCGGTGTAACTTTTACTAAGTATTACATCGCTCAATAACTTTATATTAAATGTGAATTTTATAAATCTAACCTTCAAGTTGTTGTTCAATTTTAATTAAATTTGATATACACATATAAAGTGATATGAATGTTCAATTTAACGATTGGATTTATAAAATTCATATTTTAAATAAAGTTATTGAGTAGTGTAATACTTAGTAAAAGTTACACCGATAGATTTGATACTTCATTCTTATAAAATAAAATTGACGTAATATATTCACTTCAAAATATACTAAAATATGATTACTTTGATTACCTTCAAATTGTTATTCAATTTTAACAAAGTTTGATATACACATATAAAATGATATGAACTTTCAATCTAACGGTTAGATTTACAAAATTCACATTTAATATAAAGTTATTGAGTAGTGTAATATTTAGTAAAAGTTACACCGGTGTTATTGGAGTAATAGGCAGAACGAAAGCAATCTACGAGGGCTAAACTGAGAGTTAGTGAAGTGGGGGCAAGAACAGTTAGAGCAGTTAGTTAATTAAAGGGGATCAGTTAGACAAATATGGAGAATAAGGATTGAAGGATTCACTCAAACAATTAGTGAGTTTGTATGAAAGGGGAAACCCATGGAGGAGGATTGTTTCTCCTATTTTTGGGCATTCAATAGAATTGTGTGTTTCTGTCAATTTCTCATTTATCTTTCTGGGATTTGTAACAGGATTGAAGATCTTGAATTAATGCTTTATTATTTTTAAGTAGTTTTAGTTATTTGGTTTTTACTTCGATGAGTGAACCCAAACAGTAACAAAAAAATGAAACTCTAAGCATATTTATCTATCCTGTACTTATTTTAGATATGAAAATTGGAAATTGAACAAATATGTACATACTAACTTGTGCCCTTTTCAGAAGGAAATGCAAAACTTTCAAATTTGAAGAACTGGAGTTGTGCCATGGGCTATGGTGTTGGATCAGGCAGCTCCTTGTATCCATCCTTCAATGTCGGCCTTGAGCTTGTCAAAAGCTCTCAGGTATGCCCACATACTTACATTTATTAAATTTTTGCATTTAATAAATTCTTTGGATAACTCATTACTGGGTAATATAATAATGTGTCATGTTATTCTCTTAAAATGGGAAGTATCGGAATTTGCAAGAAATTGATGACACTTAAAAATTTCACTAACCATTAGTATAAATATTAAATTTTGTATTAACCTGCTGATATGTCTTCGTCATTAACATGTGATGATGCAATTTAAACCTCAAACCAATTAAGTGCATCTTGGCATTTGTCTGCCTGCCGTAAATCGCAATTTATGTGGTTACGACTAATATTTTGAGAAACATTTTACTGAAATTGAAAGTCCAAACAATCTGCAGTTTGTTGCCTCATTCTATCAACATATGGCTGTTCAAAGACAGGTATGTTCTTTGGTCGTTGCCCTCTTTCTTTCCATTGTCTTTTCAGTGGTCCTTTATCTCCACGTTAGTATATCATTTTTCACTTTTGCATACACAGTGATATTTAGATTTAGTTGACGTTAGTTGTACTCTTAAAACTAAATTACTAGTGGATTTTCCTTGGTTTTCTAAGAATGTTGTTACATGTATCTGACTTTTTTTAATGCTGTTCATGTATCTGCTTTTTTATTTAATTACCATATCCCGTGTGCCAGATACAATACCCATACCTTTTTCTTTACTAGCAAGACCGAACTGTTAGTCTTGGGATGGCAACAGGACTTAAGTTTTCATAAGTTGCTGAGTTGAGGTCACTGAAAAGTTATTTGAATTAGAAGCTTGTTTACTCAAGACCTGGGCCTATTTGATGGGTTCCTTCTCCATGAAATGATGTAGGGATGAATATATTTTATGTTCAAATAAAAAAAATAGAAAAAAATTATAAAAAAAAAAGAATCATTAAAGTCACACTCCTCATAGCAGTGAATGAGTTGGAACTTGGAATCCTTCTTCAACAAAAGAGAAAGAGAATATATATTTTTACACCTACACGCACGCGCAATGCCTCCTTGTTCTGGACGAAGCCCAGCAGAAAGCGAAGGTGCTCTTCGGTGGCTGGAATGGAATTGATTTAGCATTTAGGAATTTGGCTGAAACGGACTCTACTAATCTCTTTACCTATTGGGCCTGATTTTTTTTTTTTATATATATAAAGCCTATTATTTATACTAAAGCCCAATCACTAAATCATCTATGTGGGTTGGTAGGCTGGGACGGGCCAGCCCGCTATTTGGCTCGCCGGGTTGGCGGGCTTGGCGGGGCGGGCTTGGCGGGTTGGCGGGCTAAAATGATGGGCCCAGCCTGCCAAAAATTGGCGGGCCCGCGGGGCACGGTCCATTTTTCCATCCCTAGATAGAACGAGTGGGATACGAGAAAAAATTAGGTTTAAATATGTTTTGAATCCCTCAAATTTAAGATAAATTTATTTTTGGTCTTTCAAATTTAAAATCGTTATTTTTAGTCCCTATAATTTTCAAAAATCTTATTTTAGTCCCTTTGATCAAACATATCTAAAAGTAACAAATTAAGACGATTATGCAATATTAATTGAATTTAATGTGATATTTTCACTAACATGGACACTAATAGGTAGATTTTATGTAATAATATTTGATTAATTTCTTAACAAAATTTGAATATAAAGACTAAAATAAGATTTTTTGAAATTACAGAGACTAAAAACATCAATTTTAAATTTGAGGGACCAAAAATAAATTTACCCTAAATTTGAGGGACTAAAAATATATTTAAGCCGAAAAAATAAATAAAACAAGGTTTGGTAATTTATTTTTTGAAAGAATTAAAATTTTGCATGCTTCTCGAATTTAGTTTTGGAAGTGTTGAAATTTTTTACGCTTTTGAAAGTAAGTTTCTACAAATATGGAAAAGAAAAATCTTTTTTGGTTACTCAAAATTTAATTTTAAGATGTAAGAAGACTAATAAAATTTAGATTCCAGAATTGTTCTTATATGCTTCTAGGAATTAAATCATAAAATTTCTATATAAAAAAATTGCACATTTCAAAATTTAATTTCTGAAATATTCGAACACGTGTATAGGAGTATTTAGAAAAATAACCAAAATCACGGAGTGTATAGTTTTTGAAAAAAGATGCAAAAAGAGATTTCTTATGCAAAAAGAGATCCCGGGCGTGTGGTTCAGCGGTAGGAATTGATCCACGCTTAAGTAAGGTCAGGAGTTCAAATCCTGCCTTGTGTATGTAATCGCGTTAAATCTTGAAACCAGTTACCTCACCTTTGAGGTGCTTTCAACGTAGCGAGATTCCAGTGACGAACAAAAAAAAAAAAGTTAATTTTAACTTGATAAATTTAAATGTGGTTGAGCACGCAAATTGACAATAAAATATGAAGTTTAACGCTCCATAATGTCGACCTATATCATCCATCATTCATCGTTGAGTCGCATTCTTAATTAAATTGTTGATTTAAATAGCAAAATCACCTAATAAATTAATTGATTGTCATTACTTTTTTGTTGAACAAATCGAACCGTTGATTTTCTTATGACAAGTTTTGAAGTTTGACTGATTATCGTTGATGTCCCTATTTAATATCACATTGATGCATTGTCAATACGTGAAATTAATTTTGGGACAGGTGATAATAACTAGCAATGATAAATACATGTGGTTGAATTTCTATATGCTCTGTCATCCGAATGCATTTATTCGAAATATCTTTACACTTGTCAATAATTTATAATGAAATATTGTAAAAATTTTTTAAAAAAATTAAAATCAAGTAATATTTTATTATTATTTTAAAGTCGAATGATATATGGGTGATATCTGAAAATGATAAATACGGTGTTATATATTCATAATTTTTAAAAGAAATTATCTATAAAAAAATAAACTTCCATTATATTTTTTCCTTTTTTTTCTTTTATCAAACAACATTTATTTTCAATCTATTTTCTTACACTTTTTCACACTTTTCTTTCCTTTATTTCTCTACATTTTTTTTTCTCTTTTTCAAACACAAGCTACAACTCTTTTTGGTAAGTTCTCTAAAATACACTATTTTATATTAATAATATATATTAAATGTAAACACGTCTTAGTAGACATTTAAATCTAATTTGCTATATTGTTCAATCTCTTATCACTAAATCGATTCTAATGATTCTATATCTGTTTTGAATTAGACTGATCATTACTTCTAAATTTTTTCTTAAAAAACATTTATAAGAGTTAGCTCTTGGGTTCCTTCTGATTAACAACCTATCAAAATTCGTAACAATGGAACATTCTATAATATATATGATTTTAAAAAAGTAAATTAAGAGTTTAACCCAATCTTATAAAATCGGTTAAATTTAAATTATTTTTTACTTATATACATTATATTGTTCATATTATTAGTCAATATGAAATCTTAAAAAGCTAAATATATAAACTCATAACCCACTTTCTTAAAATATAAGATAAAGAAAGATATTATCAACTCTCTCTTTTGCAAATATTTTCTTTACTATTACTTGAAAATCAATAATTTTAATCAATTCTATCTCTATACTAATATAGACTCAT